AGTGGGCGCGGCCGCACGGGGCCTCTCCGTTCGCTTCGCCGCACCCCTCGCACGTTCCGCGGCCCCATGGGGAGCTCCACCTACGACCGCAGTGGGCGCAACCGAAGGGATCCCTCCGCCAACTTCGTCGCACACCTTGCGCGCATCATGGCTCATTGAGGGGGTCCACCTACGTCCTCAGTAGAAGGAGGCTCCCAGAGATTTCCAGCGAATTCGGGATCAGTATGAGGAGGATCAGGATGAGGAGGAAGATGAGAAGGAAGGGGAAAAAGGAGCAGGAGGAGGAGGAGGCGGAGGAGGAGGAGGAGGAGGACCGAGAAGAGAACGACAAGTACGAGGTTGAGGTGGATGAGGATAAGGCTGAGTGGGACGATCAGGTGGAGCACAAGGAGCAGGAGGATGAGGATGAGGCTCAGGAGGACGAGGAACTCCCGGTCGATCTGCCTAGTTATCTTCGCCACCTTTGCCCTACCTGCCTCGATTCGCATTCTTCTTTCCCGTCCACGTCCTAGTCCTTTTGCTCAATTTCTTCGTTCTTCGCATATGCCTTGCGGTACTAGTACCTGCATTGGGTTAGGCTTGTCACCAGGCCATTTTCCAATCAGAACGTTCTCCGCGTTTCAAAAGTGATCCCGCTTCAGCGTTGAACGCATTACAGGATCGGCGATGTGTTGCCCACGTCGTTCAGAATGGCGCTCTCGCCCCAGCACTGGCCACATTTGTGGTCCGATGTCTTCCGCGTCGTTGCCCCCTTCTTTTCCCTCTTCCACCCTTCCCTCGTCTTCCTGCTTGTCCCGCTGCCCCTCCTCCTGCACTTGCTGATGTTGCTCGTTCTTCTCCTCATCCGCCTCATCGTCCCTCGTCATCCCCATCTGTCTCTTGCCCATCATCCTGCTCATCCGCCACATCCTTCTCCCCCTCTTCCGATAAGCCCAACTTTCCCGTTGCGCATCGCCTGATGGGGTAATCTGGGATATCAAGGGTATCAAGGTCCTCTAGGACACACAAGTCGGCGGATGATTAAAACATCATCCCAATGCGAAGGGATGCGTGGGAGCCGTGGGATGTCTCATGTGGCGCGAGCGCAATGCTTGACTTCCTCCCCTCTCCCTTCTCCTCCTTGCCCTGTCCCTTCCCCTTCTCCCCCTGCTCCTTACCATCCCACTGTTCCTCCTCTTCCTCCTCTTCCTCCTCCTCCTCCTCCTTCCCCCCTCTCTTCCTCCTCCTGCTATTCCTTCCCCGCCCCCCTCGATAGCCATGTTGGCTCGAAGGGGCCACATTGTCAGGCGTCAGCTCAGTCGAACTTTTTAGCGTGCCAGACTTGTAGGTTTTCCCTGATCGTGCATCTATATTTCATCGTTACCGCTGTTGCCGCGAATACCATTGGTGGGGCAATGACATTGGATTCTGCTTGCTGGAATTGCAGCAGTGAAGTTCCTGCCTTGAAAGATGGCGATGTGCTCAGCATCCTTTTCGACGCCGGTTCAGATGGTTTCGAGGTGGTGGCTTGCTCGGCGGAGCTCGAGGATGTTTGGTTCATCGGTTGTGATCGTCTTGACTTGATTTCACACGCCTCGTACACGAGCACCTTGGAACGATTAGTGCGCGATGAGGTGCAGCAAGCGCCAGTGGGAGAGCAATGGACGTCCAAGGTGATACCGGAGAGCTTAATGCTACATGTACCAGGGATGTGCGGAATGAAAGTCCAAGCTCAGGAGGCTCGGCTTGTCATAAATCCAGAGATGGCATTTTCTAACAACAGAAGCCCTGTAGCGCTGCATTTGGTGGCAGCGCGTATATCAAGAAGGCGATCGACAGGAGAGGATTCACTCACAAGGAGCATCGGGAGCGATGCGTCGCAAGCACCAGGAACCACTCCCGAGCAGGGCACCGATCGTACCAAGTTTGGCGACGACATCGGTGACACCGATCAGTGGGACGCGAGCAGCTGCCACAGCACAGACATGATGCCAGACCATTTCGCAAGCCAGTTCGGGTCCCGCGGCGCCTCGGCGGGCCTCGCCGCCCCTGCGCCCGCGAAGCCGCGGCGCGGCGGTCACTGCCGGCTCACGCCGCCGACGCGGCGCGAGCCGTGTGCCAGCGGCGGGGGCGCGGCCACGGCAGCCAAGGCGGCGGCTGGTCTGCGCCCGCGCCCCCTCGAGCTGCGGCGCCTCGAGGAGGTCAGGGATGCGCCTGGCGACGCCTCTCCGCGGCTGCATGCGGCCCTTCGCGGCGGTGCTGACTGGGGGCACGAGCCTCGTGCTGTCGACGTGGAGGTGAAGGCGCGCGCTGAGTACGGCTGCGTTGCGCCTGGAGGTGGAGAGTGTCGTGAGCCCGCGCATCATGATTCGGCACTTTGCGGGCGCACGTGTGTCCATGTCACCATAGGCGACGCAGGCCGAGTACTTCGACAAGGGTTCACTGACGGAGTTCCCCCCGACGCTCCAGCGGCCCCAGCGCCAGTCAGGGCCCGGCGCGAGTACTGCCATTTGGCCATGCTGCCGCCGGGGCCCGTGCCGGGCACCAACAAGGAGGACGCGGCGGCCCTGGCAGCCCGGCCACCGCACGCTGCCAGCGTAGAGGGCGCAGAGAGGCCCAGCGCCGGCGCAGATGGCGCAGCAGCCCCCGCAGCCCGGCCACCGCACGCCATCAGCGGAGAGGGTGCGGCGCCCCGCTCGGGCGTCGGGGCGGCTGCGCCGGTGCCAGTGCCGCTGCCGGCCACGCCGCCAGGGGCGTGGGGGCCGTCGGCAGCGCGGCGGCCGTCGCCGCGCGCGGGGTGCTCTTCCCGCGCAGATGGCGGGGTAGCGGCCGCAGTGCGCACAGGCAGGGGCGGGGAGCTGCAGCAGGGCGGGGCGGGCGTCGAGGTGTCGGTCGACGCGGGCACTGAGGTGCAGCAGGTCGGCCGGGGCACTGGGGCGTGGGCCGCCGCGGGCGGGGGCACAGAGGTGCAGTTGGGCGGTCTGGAGGTGGCGCGCGTGGAGACGTTTGGCCGCCGGCTCCGTGTTCGCGGGCGCGACCGCCGCCATCGCAACCGCCCTGCAGTCCGCTTTTTCAGCCACGATGGAGGACAGAGCGGGTCCGTGTCGGTGGCCAGCGGTTCGAGCGGGGCGGCGCGACCGCGGTGGGCCGACCAGGACTTCGGCGAAGACGGGTTCGTCGTGGAGGACTTCGAGCAGGAGGAGGCGATGCTCGGCGAGATCGGCGACACAAGTGGTGCCAGAGTGTGCATGCGGGAGGCGTTGGACGCGGGCTTGCACGGTGCCTGACGGCAGAAGTGACTGCAATCGTCGTCTGTTCGGCGGCGTTGTCGTGTCCCACACATCCGTGTCAGAGGCGCTGGCTGCATGCGCAGGAAGCTGGCGTGGCGGGAGCCCCATAATGCGGGCTTTGAGAGGGCTTCGGCGGGGTCGTGGACAGCTTCAGACTGGCGCTTGTGGCGCCCCGTCGGATGATGGCGCCCAACCTCATGTTGTGCCTTTGATGTTTTCCTTTTGCGTGTAAGTTGCTTGGCCAAGCGCATCCGCAGCCGCTGACTTGTCTTGATGCATGCTTGCATGCTGCAACCGTTACCTTAATGTACAAACTATTGCTTGTTCGTTGCTCCTCTTGCCCCCTGGTCCTCCAAGCTCCGCAGAGGTCCACAAGACAGTGAGCCAGTGGCCTTCGCGGGGGGTGCTGGGATTGAGCCGTGTTTTTTGCCGTAGCCAGGCCCAGCTCTCCCCCTCGGGTCCTGTGCCTGGGCGGCCACCCGCCCTCAGGACTCTGGGCGGGTCCCGCCCCCATCGGGCGCCCGAACTCCTTTGGCCACCCGCCGGATAGCCCAAAGGGCTGCCGCAGGCGCTGGCTTCTCGTCGGCCCGCGCTGAGGGCACAATGCCCAATGGGGGCGACAAACACATGGATGGGCTGGGGCTGGGGAGGAGGAGGAGGAGGAGGAGGAGGAGGAGGAGGAAAAGGATGAAGAGGAGGAGGAGGAGGCAGAGGAGGAGGAGGAGGAGGAGGAGGGTGAGATGCCTCTCCAGTCCACCGCTTGGCCCGTGTGCTCTTGTATATCGAGGCCGGCGCACCCAGACTCGTCGCACCTCCCTGGCGGGCAAGGGCACCAGGCCGCCTCGGCAGACATGTGAGAGTGTGTGGAGGAGGCGCCGGCACCGAGGGACGGGAGGGGGAGCTTGCTCTCGCTGCTCGGTGCGGGCAAGGCTGTGCGCTCGCCTCCGTGGGTCCCTGAGGGCGGAGCTCAACGGGAGAACCCGGGAGGAGGGGGGCAGCAAGCTCAGCAGCAAAACGGCCAGGGCCAAACGGCCGCCGTAGCTGCTTGGACATGCTGGGTGGCGATGCGCAGATAAAGAGGAGGGAGGGGGGTGGGATGTCTGGGTGTCGGCTTGAGCGGAGGGTCGGTTTTCCTATCAGGCCAGCTCGATTGCACCTCTGCTGCGTTGAAAACGTTGAGAGAAGGGAAGCGAGGAGGGCAGGAGGGTGGCACGGTCTGGGCCATCCTCGAGCCACATGCGGCATCTTGAACTTTCCGACGCCCGGGCCATGGGTGGCATGGCCGGCTGCTCTTTTCGTCTCGGGGGGAGGGCCCCCCCCCCTGGCGCGGGTCCGATCCATCCCCGCGACTCGCGGCACGCGTGCCTACCTGGCGGCAATCGGCAGACACACCAGGCTGCGCTGCTGGCCGGAAGTACGAAGGAGGCGCTGACGCGAGGGCGGGGAAGGGAGGAGAAGAACGCCAGCTGAGCACAAGCGTCGCTCCTGGCCGAGCCCGCCCCGAGGTCTGGCTCGGCTGGTGTGCATGCCCTACCGGGCCGGCGCAGACGGAGAGGTCGGTGCACCCTGGCTCCTCCTCCTCCTCCTCCTCCTTCTCCTCCTCCTCCTCCTCCTCCTCCTCCTGTCCTCCTCCTCCTCCTCCTCCTCCTCCTCCTCCTCCTCCTGGAGGGGCCTCGTCCTGGATTCGCTGGTGCTCCAGCTTCCCAGCGCACGCGCCCTGCCGGGCAGCAGGCGGCAGACACACAAGGTTGCGGCGCTGGCCTGGATCGTGGAGGAGGCGTGCCAATAGCCCTCCGACCCGCGCGCCTCCCTGGCGGCAGCCGGCAGGCACACACGGCTGCGGTGCTGGTCAGGATCATAGGTGAGGCGCTGACATGAGGGGGACGGGACGGGGGCTCGGGAGCAGGACGGGGGAGCGAACAGACCTCAAGCAAGCGTTGCGTTTTTTTTGCAAGTAGCGACAGCCTTGATGGTTCTGGCGTCTGGGGCACGTGCAGCTGCGCCAGACTGCAGTCTGACAGCGCTGTTCTCTTAGCCAGCCTTACGGCACGCGCGCTTCCCTGGCAGCAGCCGGCAGGCACACACGCACACGCACACGCACACGCACACGCACACGCACACGCACACGCACACGCACACGCACACGCACACGCACACACACACACACCCGCACACACACACACACACCACACACACACACACACACACACGCCACACGCCACACGCCACACGCCACACGCCACACGCCACACGCCACACGCCACACGCCACACGCCACACGCCACACGCCACACGCCACACGCCACACGCCACACGCCACACGCCACACGCCACACGCCACACGCCACACGCCACACGCCACACGCCACACGCCACACGCCACACGCCACACGCCACACGCCACACGCCACACGCCACACGCCACACGCCACACGCCACACGCCACACGCCACACGCCACACGCCACACGCCACACGCCACACGCCACACGCCACACGCCACACCACACACGCCACACGCACACACACGGCACGCGCACGCGCACGCGCACGCACGCGCACGCGCACGCGCACGCGCACGCGCACGCGCACGCGCACGCGCACGCGCACGCGCACGCGCACGCGCACGCGCACGCGCACGCGCACGCGCACGCGCACGCGCACGCACGCGCACACACGCGCGCGCACGCATGCACGCGCGCGCGCGCACGCACGCACGCACGCACGCACGCACGCACGCACGCACCCCCCCACACACACACAAACCGACACACACACACACATACATACACACGTACACACATACACACCACACACACACGGCTGCGGCGCTGGTCTGAGCTATGAAGGGCCATGCCAGGTTCCCGATTGCCGGCAGTGTGGTCGCGCCTTCCTTGCAGCAGATGGCAGGCATATATACGGCTGCGGTTTCGGGATGAGGCGCTGGCGTGAAGGATGGGGAGGGGTGAGAGTAGGGGCGAGAGACTGGGAGGCCGTGGCTTCGGAGTAATGGGGTGTATGCGTCCCCTTTTCTCTCTGGGGGTGACCTGTCGCGTCGCGCAGCGCAAGCCACTGACCGTCCTTGGGTTTTCCGCGATATTACCTTTACCACCTTCGAGGGCTGGCGGCCGCGTGCCCTCCAGGGCCGGCGGCCGCGGGACCACGACGTGCCGCGCACGTTTCTGTTGCCCTTCCTGCCACTGTCTGGCTCGTCCTCACAGTCGGAGTTTGCGGGGGGTGAGATCGAAGGCCAGACATGATCGCGTCGTTAAACAATCAGGACGGGAGGTTTTGGGCTATGTTCGGACCCGCGGGGGCCCTCGCCGGGCCTCGGGGCCGTCAAAACGAAGAACCGGTCCCGGGGAAAGGGTCGGGACTTCCAGGGACGCCGTCCTGCTAACAATTCGAACGCCGCATGTCTTGGGGGGTGAGATCGAAGTGGAACGGAGAGCCCCCCCACCAGGAGATCGACTTCGGTTCCGGGCTCGCGTCGTGCGTGCGGGCGGGGCGAAGCTCCGTGTGCGGTAGAGAGGAGCGGCTCCGCTGTGGCCAGGGCGGGTCAAGACAAAAGACCGCACCTCCGGTGGGCCCGCGAGGCCGGGAGTGTCCCGCCGTGGTGTCCCGCCGTGGTGTCCCGTCGGTGTCCCGTCGGTGCCCGCGGGCGGTGGCAGGGGGTGTCCCGCCGTGGTGTCCCGCCGTGGTGTCCCGCCGTGGTGTCCCGCCGTGGTGTCCCGCCGTGGTGTCCCGTCGGTGCCCGGTCGATGCCCCATCCCCGATCAGCCAGGCGACCGCACGCGAGAGCGGCTGCCAGTAAGAGTGACCATTCGCCGGGGTGGCCTTTTTTACGCGGGCCCACCGCGGCCCCCCCTGAGCAGAGGGAGGATGGACAGATGAGGCAAGGGTCGCCTCGGGGGGACCCGTCGCCTCGGCTGGGCGCAGCTCGGGAAGCTGGTGCGTTTGGGCCATGGTAGGAGTCCGGGGGCCGACTTTGAGCGATTTGGGGCCGGGCGGCAGGGCCGCCGCTGTCTCACCGCCATCATCTCAACTGGCTCTCCTCCGACCCCAGCATTGGTTTGCGCGCTTCGGTCTGGCCCCCAGCGGCTCCCTGAATCCGCCCAACACAGGGTCATTCTTGCCAAGGGCCACTCCTCCCGTGCAGCCGACGAGAGCGGCCCCTCCCGGGGTGGCCTCTGGTGCGGGCCACTCTCTCTATCGGGGTTCCCGAGCTGTCTCGGGCGTTGTCGTGGCTCCTCGGAGTCTCCCTCGCCCTGGGAAGCCGTCCAGCAGCTGCGCCTCGCCGAGAGCTTGCCTGGGGCGCCCGAGTCGTCCCGAATGGCCTTCGGTTGCCGCCCCTCTCTCTGTCGCCTTCGCGGATGATCTGCCCTTCGTTGGAGTGGCTTTTGGTGCGGGCCCATTGGGCCCCCCCGATCGCGGAGTGCGATGCGACAGCAGCGGCTTGCCCGCTTGGGTTTTGCCCCCTCCCGCGCCACGCTCAAGCCGCGCACCAAAGGTAAATCGTGTTTTGGGTCGCTCTTGCGTGTAGTAGGAGCAGGCAAACAGCGGCAGGTGGGGTGAGGCGGGGCTCGAGGGTGCCGGCGGAGGAGGGAGGGGTTGCGAGGAGAAGGCAGGAGAGAGGGGGAGGAGGACGAGCTAGGTGCGCTAGCGTCACATCTGACGTCCTACCCCTCCCTTCCATCCCTTAGCATCGCGTAGGTCTCTTATCTATTCGCACACTCGGGTGTCGAGCAGGGCAATGATCCCAAGAGGGTACGCGATACATTAATTACCCTGGCGACGTACCCAACCCCTGCGCAAACGCGGGGCGAGGCCGCCGCGGAGCCGCCAGGGGAGCAGCCCGTCGGCCACGGGGCGACGACGGCGTTGACAACGACGACGGCGATGACGACGACGACGACAACATCGGCGACGAGGATGACGACGGCGATGGCGACGACGACGACAACGGAGACGATGACAACGGTGACGACGACGATGACTACGACGATGATGACGACGACGGTGACGACGACTCAACGACGACGACGGCGACGGCGACGACGTCGGCGACCCGGCGGTGACGAGAATGACGACGCCGACGACGATGACGACGCCGACGGCGACAACGACGACGACGATGACGACGACGACGGCGGCGACGACGCCGACGACGTCCCAGGCAAGCGGCGAACGTCCTGCTCCTCATTCGCCTCCTCCTCCTCCTCCTCCGACTCCGCCGCCTCCTCCTGACCCGCAGCCCCTTCCCCCAAGGATACGGAGGTCTATTGTGGATCCGCGTAGCGCGTCACTGTGCTGGGCCCCCCAGCAGACCTCGAAAGTGGCGACAGTTTCACAGATCGCAGCCCCCCAGGGATGGCGAGATCTAATTTGGGTCTGCGTGTGGCCTCCCTGTGCTGGGCCCCCCAGCAGGCCTCGAAAGCGGCGACTGTTTCACAGATCGCAGCCCCCCCAGGGATGGCGAGGTCTAACTTGAATCTGCGTGTGGCGTCACTGTGCTGGGCCCCCCAGCAGACCTCGAAAGTGGCGACTGTTTCACAGATCGCAGCCCCCCAGGGATGGCGAGGTCTAATTTGGGTCCGCGCGTGGCGTCACTGTGCTGGGCCCCCCAGCGGGCCTCGAAAGCGGCGACTGTTTCACAGATCGCAGCCCCCCAGGGATTGCGAGGTCTAATTTGGGTCCGCGCGTGGCGTCACTGTGCTGGGCCCCCCAGCAGGCCTCGAAAGTGGCGACAGTTTCACAGATCGCAGCCCCCCAGGGATGGCGAGGTCTAATTTGGGTCCGCGCGTGGCGTCACTGTGCTGGGCCCCCCAGCAGGCCTCGAAAGTGGCGACAGTTTCACAGATCGCAGCCCCCCAGGGATGGCGAGGTCTAATTTGGGTCCGCGCGTGGCGTCACTGTGCTGGGCCCCCCAGCAGGCCTCGAAAGTGGCGACAGTTTCACAGATCGCAGCCCCCCAGGGATGGCGAGGTCTAATTTGGGTCCGCGCGTGGCGTCACTGTGCTGGGCCCCCCAGCAGGCCTCGAAAGTGGCGACAGTTTCACAGATCGCAGCCTCCCAGGGATGGCGAGGTCTAATTTGGGTCCGCGCGTGGCGTCACTGTGCTGGGCCCCCCAGCAGGCCTTGAATGTAGCGACTGTCTCACAGATCGCAGCCCCCCGCAGGCAAGACAGGAGGAGGCAGGAGGGAGGCGGAAGGAGACGCGCGAGCAGTGCTCTATTCAAAACGAATACCCAACCAAGGAGGTTTAGGAATAAAGCAGGAAGCAGGACGCAGGAGGAGGGAGGGAGGCGGGAGGAAGGAAGGTGGAGACCACAGTCCCTTACTCAAAACGAATACCCAACCAAGGAGGGTTGGGAAAAAGCATGGCGTAGAAGAGCACGGCAGAGCATAGCATGTCATAGGATGGCGTGGCATTGCATAGTGAGTGAAGCATTGCATCTAAAGCGTAGCAACACACAGCATGGTATCGCACAGCGATGCACAATACAGCATCGCATTGCATGCCGTGGCATGGCGCCGGATGACTGGGAGGGTAAGTGGCCCATCTACGAGAGGGCAGGGCCTGTCCGGAACGCCGGCCCCATGTCCTCCGCAACCGTGCCTGCCCGATGTGGGCGCTTTCGATTGCCAAGTGCCGTCCAGAGGGGTGGGAAGGAGGCCAGCGCTACAGCGGGGGCACGATTTTGAATGACCGAAGCTCGGAAATGAGGGCGGCGCTGCAGCGGGAACACCATTTTGGAAGAACCAGAAACGACAGGATTGCAAAAAAAGCAAATTGGAAAAAACAAATATTGAAATCTTGTGTGTAAGGAACATTGCGCGGAGAGGATGGGACACTCTCCGGACAATTTCAGGGGAGAG